CATTCAGTCAAACCAAATTTGTTTTGTCATCTTTCGTTTAGTCCATCTTGCAATGATTAATAACTGATAGCTGTCTTTCACGAACAGCAAAGGGTCGAAACATAGCGGTCGGCTTTTCACACCAGATACACAGACAATTCAGGGTGTGTGAATTGACCACCCATTGCCATTTGACACAAATTAATCGAATACAAGGGCAAATCAATGGCAGCTGAATTTTTTCTCCGCAATGTTTCCAGTCTAATGAATCACCCGGTATGGCAAGAACAGCTCATTAGGTATGTCATATCAGCCAGAAGAGAGTGAAAAATTTGCTGTCACTATAGCCATAAGAGTGATGGCCCTATGTGACACCTTTTACATTCTCCCCACTTCCTCATTTGCTGTCTTTTTATCACATCTTCACACTTGTTTTATTCATTTTTGTCTAACATTTCTCATATCATGTCCACTTCACACATGTTACCTGACTTTGCCCTATCCATTTATTCTGATCCGATAGCTTGTTGTCCACTCAACATTTTGCACACACATTCATTCACTACCAGCGTAAGCCAATAAAGCGCGTATGGCTGAAGACAAATGGGCATACGCAATACGTGCCCAAGTCAACGAAGCCTATTGGTCTGAATTCGATGAGTTAGCAGGTTTATCCCTGCTAAACACCCAAACACATGACGGCTTACCTCCGGAATACTCATTCGCTCCATCCCGCTTGGGCCAAACTACATAAACACCGATATTCAAAATACGTCCACGAAAAATTGAATGGGAATCGCGAACTAGAGTACCCTTGACGAACGCCGCTGAATCCAGTAAAAATATCAATTGTGCTCGACTGCTACTGAGTAGTGCGGTGTTACAAGATCAAGGAAAGAGATGTCTTTCACACAGGCATACCAATTACTTGATATCCTCATGTCGGTGTGCTATAATTAAAAGCATGAAGTTTCCCTGATAACTATTTAAATACGCCCAACGTTTTATTATTGGGTTGTTGTAATTTAATTCTTCCATTGTATCCTTGTACCGTTGTTTAGTATCTTGTCAAGCGTGCGTCCCAATGTCAGAAATACGTAGAAAATCGCATTTGACTCAAAGGAATCGGTGTCGGTTGAGGAAATCACTGGCCCAATGAAATTTACGATACTGAAAGCCAAGGCTGAATCCACTCACGTAATTTTTCAATCATGAGATGGACCCAATTGGCTAGTTAAGGTGTAAATAGAATGCAATGGTTAATACCAAAATGAAGCTTCGAATACGGAGGTTCCTTGAAAATTGCGTTACTCGAAGGCGGTAAATAGATTGTGTCATGTGATACTTAGTTTTCATAAAAGTATCAGGCAAGTAAACTCATCTACCAATAACGATCATGTTTTGAACAAGTAACCTAACTTACCAATCTTCCTCCTTCTGGTAGCAACTATGACACAGTAGCCCAATGATAAACCTACGGACTATTGTTGCCAACATAAACCCTTTTTACTATTGTATTGTTTCCACCCTATTGTTTTTCTACAGATTAACTGTTGCGTCATCCCAGTTGTTAGATCGTATCACCGCATGTTCATAAGCATGACCAAATAGATCAGACTGCCTTATGTAGTTCGCCACTCCAAGTCTCGGGGCTAAGGTTGCTGGTTACCATCACTGAACAGCAGGTCTTCGTGACTATGGGGCTTTCCCGTCTGCTATTCATCACACACTGGTGTATCATAAAAAAGAAAGAGGAGCATCGACAAGTTCGGATTATTGATCAAAAATACGACAACCATTGGTGGATTAGTTTACTTACTTGACATAAATATCCTGAATTACCGCTTGACATTTACATCTTATTTCCGTGCTACAGCATCCTGCAATGGATCATAAATGTAGTATACTACGAGCGTACGATAATGGTGATGACTGGTTGATGGTCGCTGCATAACTTGCGTGTGAAGAGAAGGACAGCGATGACATGGATAAGAAGATATCAAAAAGAACCGTCAGAATTCACCCACGGAGGAAGACGGTTCAGCAGGTTATCAAATCACCATACAGAGGAACTCATTTCATGGATTGAGGAGAATCCGACTGTAACACGTTTCTACAGATGAAACTCAAGGCTGAACACGATAAAGNCCATCACAACCATCAGCAACTACACTGATGGAAAACTGATTACAATCAAAAAGATTCATCTAATACCAGTAACGATTAACTTACTGGATACGTTCAACACTTGCAATGGTACGAGGCAATTGGACAAGAGATTATTTGGATTGATGCAACCAACTTCAACCTACATTGTTCAAGAAATTATAGGCGTGCACCAAGAGGTCAAAGGTGTCGGATACCAGTGGCCACTTCAAGAGGAAGAAATCTACGCACCGTAGGTGCTATGAATGTTGATGGATTGTTGAACTATACTCTGAAAAGAGGATCCTTTAAGTCCCTGTTGTGTCTACAATGGTTGCAAACGCCAGTTGATCAATTATTGCAAGAAAAGCACAAATCATGTGATTGTGTGTGACAACGCACCGTGTCACTCTAAAGTGGATAATGTCGCCGGAGGAAGAGTGAGCATTCTCAGACTTGCTCCATATTCTTCATCGTTGAATCCGATCGAAATGATATGGAGCATTACGAAAAGTTACATCAAAACGGAGCTCGAAATCAGCATGCAAAGATTATGATGGGTGATCCCGAAGGACAAATGAACCAACAGCACTGGAGAATGGCATGTTTGAAAAGCACTGCTAGTGATGCCAAGTCTTATATCACGAAGGAACATTGTCAGCAGGCAAATAACCATGTCCGTGTACATTATCCGACAGTTATCAAAATGCTTCATTTTTCATACATTTGATATTTGTCTAATCACTGAACTTTCTTGGGAATGGGAAGTATAAGTCAGAAAGTTCTATAATTATTGGAGTCAATAAGCCGGGTGCATTAGGTAGTTCGTAGACTTTAGGGCACATTTACAATTACAGTATGCTGGTAATCCATTTTGCGTTTGTCGATAATTTAATACAGTCCTTCGGTAGGCAGTTTTCAAGGGCACGTGTTGATTAAAAAATCGAGGCGGGCAGTTCATGCATCGCTAAAACCGAACGATCATGTAAAACCAGTAGACTAGGTTGGGCAGGTCGACAATTTGCTTATCGTTAGGGTGTAAATGGTACAAGCTATCAACCATTGGGATCGATTCCAGTTTTGTCAAAATAATCACGAANAACAGTTGGATTTATTTTCATTGCGGATGAAGGAGGAATCACCTTTCACCTATGTGGCAAGTGATTCGAGGGAAACAGCAAACTGCAATATTCACACCATCGGCTTATGCATGCTAAATATCTCGTCAAGAGTGCATTTCAATGTCAGAAATACGTAGGAAATGGCACTTAATTCAAAGGAATCGGTGTTAGTTGAGGAAATC